AATTACTCTGCAATGCCAGTGTGTCCTGTCCATGAAAATTACAACTGTCTTAACTTCAGCTGGACACTCTGTGCTATTTCCATCCTTATCAAATGTAGCTGGAAGGCTTTGTATCTTTCTCAAATCTATGTACACTTGCCCTTCTTGCAGATGACCCTAACACTTGCATTCCAGATATGAATCTGCTTCTTAAAGAGTGTTTCCAAATTCTGGTCTCTACCTCAAGTTCCTCTGTATCTGTAGCCATATAGTTCTCCATTTCACCCTGATCCAAAAGAAAAAGTGGAGAAATTAAAACTAACAAAGGAAAGAGAAAGGATGAATGAATAAGAGCCAGCAGAATGAAAAAACAAAATCTCTTCAAAAGGTAGAGACCACTCTCTTAACAAGCCATTTATAAGACCTGTGACATGCTAAATGCTGCCCTAGGAAATACAGGTAACAAATTAGGCCTCTAATTTGATGCTGTGTATGGTCATAGGGCATGCCAACAAGTGACTTCAATATGAAACTGGCTCTAAGAGAGGCCAGCCTGTAGAGCCAGGCCAGCGAGAGATAGGTACCCTGCAGAGAAGGTGCATGGGGGACAGACAGCAAGCCTCCAGCAGATGTGCAAGCAAAGAACAGAAAGCACAGCACCAGAAATGTCAAGAGAAGGAGCACAGAGTGAACAGCTCCAAGGATGGGGAGAATGTGGGAGGTATTTTACAAAGGGGGAAAGAGAAAGAATAGAAGGCAAAAAAGGAGTTGCAACACAGGGGGCAAAGTTAGGAGCAAAGAAGTACCTTGTCCTAGAACCAGAAACGGAGCCTTTCTGTACAGTTGAAGCTCACACCTTTAAACACAAATTTATTGTTACATTTTATTTTAAACCATTTTTAATTTAGAAATCCTTCTAAAATGTGTACCCCATTTGTTCTGTATTGTTAAGCACAGTGCTTCAAACCCACCCAGGCCAAACCTGATTTAATCTGTTCTGGGCCAAGAATCATCATGACACTCCACGTTTGCACTTTGATGTGGTGTACTGACATTCTCAGAGCCAATTTAAGTGTAAATGTCTGCTGTTTTAGTTTACACCAACAGAGCCCCAAACTAGAGTTCTTCAGATCTGCCTTCACAAGGCAGTTGTCACTTCTGTGCTCTTCCCACCCTGACTCCCTCCCTGGGGCTTTGAGGACACCTTCTTCCTGAAAAGTCCCTACCCTGAAGGATGTACTCTGAATATATAATAACTCACCCTGCTTCATTCCATGGGGGGTTCTAGGAGTCTGATATCTAAACAGAAGTAATAATACAATAAAATTATCCTCATAACATAAATTCTTTATGCCTCTAGGTTTAAAGAAGTTGTAAAACAAATCATATCCCTCAAAGCCTAGACGTTTTTCAAAGACGACTTCTATCTATAAACTCCATTCCTGTTCCTCTTTTGATTTGTTTTTTATTTGTGATATGGAAACTATAGAAACAGTATTTCTCTTGCAATCATTCAATAAAATATTACATGCCAAGTATTATAATAGGAAACTTGGGAGAATATAAAGATTAATGGAACAGCTCCTAACCTTGAAGAACTCAGAACTCACACAACCAAGGGTGGAAAGTACCCAGGCCTTTTTCACTCTCCAAACACAGTGCTCTTCCTCTACCAGGAAGCCATCCCAAAGGCTGTCCTGGAGTGGTAGAGGAAGAGGATTGTGTTTGCAGAGTGAAAAAGAAGGGAAGTGAAAGGGGAACATTTCATGGGGAAATGACCCTGGACTGGGTTTTGAAGGGAGCAGGGACTGTGATTAGTTGTGATACAGGGTGAACACAGACAAAGCCAAGAAATGGGCATCAGAAAAGACACAGAGGAGTGGGGGAAACATGTGCATTTACAGAGCAGCCTAAGGAAGAGACTGAAAAGGTTGCAAAGGCAGACCAGAAGCAGATCAGAGGGCCCACACTGCCAGGCCCACAGTGAGGCCTGGAAGCCATAAGCTCTGTAGGGCCAATGAGGTTTTTCCAACCTTGTTTGACCCTAACACAGAGACTAATCTTGTTAACAGGATGATGATGTCTTTTTTTTTTCTTTTTACAGAAAAGGAATTTAAAACATATATTATTAATCATCTCATCCTTGTTAATTATCTCCTAGAACCAAGCTTAGTATTTAAAAAAATCAGTGTGAAACTAACCATAGAGTACCCATTTGTCTTGCTCTCAAACTACTAAAATACACACAAATGAAAAAAGGAATCTCAAGTCTAAAACAAAGGGCAGCACGAATAAACAAACCAAATTTATTCCACAGACCAAAAAAAAAAAAAAAAAGCAAAAAGCCATGGAAAATACCTGTTCCAGTTCACAAGCTCATACAAAACATTTTGAAAACAAAGAAGTCTTTTTTGTTTCCCACTGGAGCCTTTTATTGAAGTGAAATCTTGTTCAAGAGAAGTTATTTTTCTATTTAAGCTATGTATATAACTTTTTCTGCTCTCACCTCAAACAAATAAATCTGCCCTTGTGACAAACCTACAGGTACATCCTATCCTGTAAGTACAATTTTGGGAGTACATCCCATATGGCCCTATGTCATCATCCATTTATCTTTTCTCCTCATCCAATTATGAGTTGTTGGTAGGGGAAAGATCATACCAAATACCTACCCACTCTGTATCCTGAACATGGCTGAACACTGGAAATTAGAAGGTACTCATAGATACATAGAAACTGATTAACTGAATTAATTTTCAAAACATGTGATTAATATCTGTGTGTGGAATGGAAGAAAAATTTAACTTCAGAGCTACATGAGATCCTTTTTAAAAGCAATAAAAATCATAACCAGTTTTTAAAAATAATATTAATATCATTGGTCATTACAGAAATGCAAATCAGAATCACACTGAAATGCCAATACATGTCCACTAACATGACTATCCTCAAAAACACAGACAAAAACAAGGGCTGGCAAGGATGTCATACATTGCTAATGCAAGTGTAAAATAAAATGGCCACTTTGGAAGACAATTTGGCAGTTTCTCAAAGCCATAAAACACAGACTTAGCATATGAACCATCAATTCTACTCCTAGATAAGGAAAGTGAAAACATATTTTCATACAAAACTATGTACAAATGTTCATAGTAGCATTATTCACAATGGTCAAAAAGTGGAAACAACCCAAATTATTCATCATCAATCGACAAATAAAATGTGGTATATTCATACACTAGCATATTAGTCATAACAAGAATGAAATGTCAATACATTCCACAAAATGAGTGAACCTTGAAAACATACTAAGTGAAGGAAGCCAGACATAAAGGGTCTCAATTGTCTGATTTTATTTATATGAAATATCCTGAATAGGCGAATCTATGGAGTCAAATCAAGAGATCTCCAGACATCTCAGTCGGATATCCAGATCATGTTTGTATGAGAGACAAGTATCCTTTAGCATTTAAAATACATTTGCTCAAAATTTTCAAAATCCTGCATTCATTCACCAAAGAGAGGTTTGTAGACTCTACAACCAGATTATAACTTCTATTCTACACTCACCTTAATAAACAATGTCAGTTTGGGGTCTTCCTCAGTCTACATTCTGTCTAACTCAGGATCTATTATCTGATTATCAGAGCAATTTTTTTCCTTAATTCAATCTTAATAGCTCATTTAAAATTAAAAAGTCACAAAAAATGGAGAATGATTGCTGTATTACATTTAAATGACACTCATAATAATAACGGCTATCATTATCATCAAGTTTCGATGACTCTACAAATAGTAGTTATGACATCCAGAGAAGTGAAAGGACTTGTTCAGCTTCCTTGCTCATTTAGAATAGCAGAACCACAATTCAAACCCAGGTCTTTCTGCTACCAAAGTCCACATTCTTTCCATGTATCGCCTCACCTGTACCACACAAATTTCTTATCTCCCAAGTTTTTGAGGCTCTGAGAGTAAATTGCAGGTAAAGAATCTGATCTTAAAAAGAGAAATGGTTTACAATAAATAAAACATAAGAATCCAGGAATAATTAAACTAGGCAGATGAAGTTTATAAACAGCAGTTTAATTACCATTCCTGTATGCTTCCTGCCTTCGTGTATGTGTGTGCGCGCGTGTGTGTGTGTAATGACCAATAATATTAATATTGGTTCTAAAAACTAGTTATGAATATTGTTGTTTTTAAAACTGCTTCTTTCCCTTTACCCTTGGAGGCTGTCCGCACTCTGCCAGGCCCTCCAGTCACCAACAGTCTGGACTCTGGCCTTCCACTTTCTACTCTCTCTGTCTTGCATTGAATTCCCACCTTAGACTGCAACATACTGATAAACTCCTTCCACCCCCAAAAGTACTTGTTTTTCAGAGTAGAAAATAGGGAATGATCAGCCCATGAAGATCAGCTCTTTGTCTCAGGAACCTAAGATCTAACATGGAAAGGATAAGGACACAAATCTCCCCCACCACCACTTGTCCCAGCATATCGCACCTTGTCCCAAATGTCCCAGTGTAGTACATACTTCTACCTCAACCTAATCTCTGGGTTTCAGCCCCCCCCCAGCCAATCTTTCCATTCCCAAATTGCCCTCCTATCCTCTCATCCCATCCATTCACTCCAGTTTAACACATCAAGTCAGTTCTACCCAAATTTATCACAAACAAAAGGAGAATCACATTCTAGGCACAGCAAACCTTTAGTTTCAGGACACACAACAAAACATTAAACAGTCTCTTGGGAGCACCGCCCATTCTCATTTTCTTCTAATCTCTGATTTCTTTCTCTGAGACATGGATGATAGGAAGAGGTTGGCAATGGGCCTCTTGGGATCTGTGATAAGGCAAGTTATCTGAAGGTTTGGTTTCCTACTCTGCAGAAAAGAAATGAATGACTACTATATTTAGTTACTTTAAGGAATATAAATAACAAACATAGAGTGCCCTAGTACTTCCTGTATAGTGAAATGTTAGCTTTCCATTTTAAATCACATTCCTTTTGGCTTTTCCCAGTTTCTGCAGGAGCAAAGCCATTGTTTTCACCTGCCTGAAGGACACTGCCTACAATTACCAGCTCAACAGCCCAGTAGAACTCCTGGAACTGCTCCTTTGGAAATTCTGCCCTATCCCCATTTTTTAGCATGAGCTCACACACTGTCTTTCTAGCCTATCTGTTGGATTAGTGCAACCCAAGATCTCACGGGTCTCTGGTCAGGGGCTCTTCTTCCAAACAATGTGGTATAAAGGGAAAAGCACAGGACACAAAATTAGACGGCAAAATAAAACCTAGGATCCAACACTGAGTAGAACAATCCTGGCATTAAACTTATGCACCTATACCTCAATATTCTCATCTGTAAAATGTGTATAACTGCAGGGCAATTTAAGGGTTAAATAACCAATAAGAAAATCTTACCACCTGGCTCAGTACAGGTAAAGAATAATTATTAACCTGCCCTTTCAATGCTCCAAGTGTCAACACAATGAGTCTACATATTCCAGGTATCTTTCTCCTTTTCCTGTCTCCACCACGTTTTCCCACAAACCCCCTTACCTCTTTAATCAGGTACCTGCTCATAGCCAGATGTGAATGTGCCTACCCTTCATTCCATAAGCAGTCAAAATTCGGTGTTTAATTTCACCGTGAGGATTCTGGGAAGTACCACTCATCTTCATTAAATATAAAAAATCCTGGTCCTTTTCTGCTATCCCACATCCCCAATTTGAAGTATGCGCAAACTGTGAATGTTTGCAAAGGATATCATCCATCAATTCCACTTAGTATCTCATATTCCTCTTAGCTGTTACTCAGGGACTCTAAATATTCTATATTCATTACATGAATTTAAAAGACAGAGTCCAAATGCACTGTTTACAACAGGGATAGCATGTGTGTGGTATAAGATCTGATTCTGCTTCCTCTGGGTGCCAGAGCAGGCACCAACCATCAATCACATCATTCCCCTCCTGATCTCAGACAAAACTCCAAGACCTCCTCCCAGACCACAGTCAAAGCTGTCATTTGGGAAAAAATCTAATTGCCAAGTTTGGAAAACTTTAAATCAAGCCAGACCTCTAAAACCAGGCATGACACTGGGCATGGTGGCACATGTCTGTAATCCCAGCAGCTCAGGAGGGTGGGGCAGGAGGATCATGAGTTCAAAGTCAGCCTCAGCAAAAAAACAAGGCACTAAGCAACTCAGTAAGACCCTGTCTCTAAATAAAATACAAAATAGGGCTGGGGATGTGGCTTAGTGGTTGAGTGTCCCTGAGTTCAATCCCCAGTACCTCAAAAATACAGAAATAAATAAAATAAAACCAGGTATAACATAAAGCAAGACTGTGACCATCTGCACAGTAGTAAGAACATTGCAGGTAATAAATAAATATGATCTTGAGGGCTTATACACAGCATGCTGTGATCTGTAAGTGGTATGTTTGGGGGATGGCATGCTTAAGTTGTAATTTCTTATTAATTCAAGTTTAAGTAGAAAACATGTTATACTTAAAATTTACTAAAACTCTCCTAAAATTACACAAGATTGTATCCTCAGCTTAACAAGTACTATGTACTATATATACATAATGTTTTGGATGATTAAAGCTCTTAAACAGTTCAAGGCCTTATTTTTTTTTTTTTTACTGCTATTACTGCTACTACTAAAGACAGTGATGATGACATAACAGGAATAAAAGGTGACATAATTGAGTACTCACTGTGCACCTGGCACTCTGCTGAATGCCTACCTGGCCTCATTCATTCACTCCAGTCTCACAGCAATCCTATGTATAAGGTGTATTCCAATCCCATTTTCCCAAAGTGGCTGGTTACTTGCCTAAGATCATGCCCTTCATCAGTGTCAGAGCCAGGATGTCAACTCACCTCTACCTTCGTTATGAAGTGCACTGCCCTTCAATAACATCTGTCTCATAGATGGGACACAAGTAGGAGTGTGGCTCAGTGGTTGAGTCTCCCTAAGTTCAATCCCCAATATCCCCCAAATAAATAAATAAATAAATTGAATAAAACCAGGTATAACATATAGCAAGACTATGACCATCTGCATAGTAGTTAGCACATTGCAGGTAACAGAATAGAAACTTTCTCCAGAATCAAATAAATCAGCAAATACTTAACCTAAACACCTGTTCTGGCTAGTAAGTAGTTTATTCATCATAAAAGGGAAATGTAATTCAAAGTTCCTGTCAATTGAGGGTATAGGCCAATTGGAGGTGGCCAATTCCCATTTTAATCTCCATAAGGAAACATAATAATTAAAGCAGAGAACCAGTGAGCTCCAATCCACACAGGAATGTCATGAATGAGGAAGGCCACACTCCCACTCCTGGTGCAACCCACAGAAGAAAAACAAACTAAATCAAAAGTTATGCTGGTTGTTGTTGCTTTGGGCTTTTTGTTTTGCTTTGTTGTTTTCAGTATCAGACTGGTATGCAGCAATAGCTGCTGACTTCTATACTGCATTCACCAAATACCACTGAACTGACCTGTCAAGCAAGTTACCTAACTGGTCTCTGAGTCTCCGCCCTACACTCCTATAGCCACTAGATCCAGATTTGGGCTATTATCCAGAGAAATGGAAAACACATCCTGAAATAATTAGAACCCTCTGCCTTCAGTCACAGCCAACATTCCACTTCTGCTTCGGAAGCTCGGAAGCTCTGCTGGCAGGAGATTCACAAAAGTCCACAACAAAGCAGACACACCCTGATGTATACCTCCTCCTCTTCCAGGAAACCCACCCCTGTTTGGTTCTGCCAGATACTGAGCCAGTTCCAATCAGATCCCCTCAGGAATAGGTTCTCAATGTTGCTAAAGGGAAACAGAGGGACCAACCAAATTGTAACAGAGTCTTCAGGGAGCTGCACAAGCCTCAAAGTACCTAGGTTTGTAGGTAGGTGGAGCCCCATGGTAAGCATGGTAAGCATGGTAAGCAGGTCCAACTTTCGGTCCTACAGCAAATCTGTCATGCATCCAGAAAGAAACACTCAATTAATGCTTTTCCTCAGTTGATTTCTTTTAGAGTTTTGGAGGAACCCCAATCAAATATATAAGAGGTAACAATACTAATCCTGCAAATTACCACAGTCCAGTTCCTGAGTAATTAGCCTGTGCTGGCAGATAAAACCAGATAAGGCTATTAAAAGTGGGAGACAAAGAGAGGCTGCACTGCCTTAAACTAGCCTGTCAGTTTCTAGCTGTTTGGAATACCAACCCCCAAACTCCTTCCTTCCTCCCTCACAGGCACCCCAACCCCCCACCAAAAGAAGTAGGTAATGGTACATGTTGGTCACTGTCTAAAACAACCCTAAACAGAAAGGCTTAAGGACATGTTACACTACAACTACAAAGAGACCCAAAAGTGAAGATTGTACACAATCAGGAATAGAAAACATTTCTTAGAAGTTAATTTGTCTTTTCACAGATCGATTAGTCCATTTTCCATGCTATAACAAAATATCTGAGGCTGAGTAATATATAAGGAAAAGGTTTATTTAACACATAGGTTTGAAGGTTGAAAGCCCAACACCAGGCAGCCCTCTGAGTTCAGCCTCTAGTGAGGGCCCCTCGGTTTTGTCACATCTGACTGATAGCTTAATGGTAGAAGCGCACATGAGAGAGAGATAATACATGGTAAGACAGGAAGCCAGACAGCAGGGAGAAGTCAAGCTTGCCCTTTTATTTATTAATTTATTCGTTTATGTATGTGTTTATTTTGGTGCTAAGGATTGAATCTAGGGGTGCTTTATCACTGATCCATATTCATAGCCTTTCTTATTTTTTATTTTGAGACAAGATCTTACTAAGTCTTGTGGCCTGAGTCGCTGAGGTTGGCCTTAAACTTGTCAGCTCCTGACTTAGCCTCCTGAGTAACTGGGATTACATGGATGTGCCACCAAGCCTAGTTGGCTCTTTTATAATAACCCCTCTCTCAGAAGCTAACAGGTCTGAAGGCAGCTTTCCCAGTGAGTCAACCACTCCCACAAGCCCCGCCTCTTAAAGGTTCCACCACCTCCTGACATCAACACACTGGGAACCAACCTTCCAACACAAGAGCCTTTGGGAAACAAAACCACATCCAGACCATTGCAACAGAAAAAAAGAAAATTTTCATTAAATTTCTAAATCGAAAAGCTCAGGTACTGTTTTATACTCTGGAAAAACAGTGTAATATAAAATTAATCAAAGAAAAATAGTGAATATGGAATGTGATTGAAATCAGAACCTTAAAGATTCTAACTATGCAGCTATAATAATACCCAATAAAGCAGTTCCTGCTGAAGGGCTGCTGAAGTCTGAAAGGTTCTCCTTCTGAGTTTACAGCTTGTAGGCTAACTTTTTAAATAACTGATATTTAACATGGGAGCTTAGAAGACCAGAATGCAAACAGTAAAGACTGTGTTCATATTTCTTGATCTCATTTTTTAAAATCTATATTTTGAAATAAAGTACTGTTATGCTTTGAATATAAGGTGCCCCCCAAAAGCTCCTGTGATAATGCAGGAATATTCAGATAAAATGATTGGATCATAAGAGCTAAAACCTGATCATTCTACCCTAGTTTGAATGGGCTGACTGAGTGGTAAGTGTAGGCAGCGGGGCATGAGTAGAGAAGGTATGCTCTCAACTGTTTATCTCTCCTGAGACCCCTTTCCCCTCCCTTCTCTGTGTTCTGAGGCCATCATGAATGGAGAAGCTTTCCTCTACCATGCCCTTCCACCACTGATTTCCTGCCTCACCTAGGGTCTAGAGTAATAGACTCAGCAATGGAAAGCTGACTAACACAGAGATTGATACCAAGAAGAGGGGTCACTGCTGTGACTAACCTAACCATATTGTTCAGATACCTTTAGAAATGGACTGTGGGAAGAGTTCGGAAAAGTTTGCAGATGCTTGTATAGGGAAGCCTCAAAAGGCTGTAAGCAGAGCTTAACGAGTGATTCTTATGGAGCTCAGAAGACCAGAACGCAAACAGTAAAGACTGTATTCATGAAATTTCAGAAGGGAACAATGATTCTACTGGGAATTGGATTAGAGGCCACTCATTCTATATTCTGGCAAAGAACTTTCCTATATTTTGCCCATCTCCTAAAGTTTTCAATGAGGCCGAATTTAAAGGTGATGGATTAATTAATCTGGTGGGAGGAAATATCAAGGCAGCACAGAGGTCAGTGATATGAGTATTGCTATTAGCTTTATCCAGGTGTACTGTGAGAATTGGGAGCAAAAAGAAAAGCTGAATAATTTTCAAAATTTACTGTTTGGCCAGAAAAGTGCATGTAAAACTGGGCCAAGGAAGGTATGACTGTTGAAGAAATT